GCGGCGCTATATCCTGTCTAAGTGCGAGTTAATCACACTGCTGATCAGCCACTCGTGGCCGACCGGTTAGGTGTTCAAACTACTAGCCGGGAGGTTGCACGCTCGAGACTCTTCGGAGTTTCGTGATATGCGCACTGCTGATGATTTCCAATAAGGATGAAACACAGCTGTACAGTGCTTCTCGGCCTTTCAGCATAGATTGGCTTCACTTGCAGGACGAAATCTCCACAACCTGATGGTTTCGTTGCACCATTGAACCCATAGCAGTTTTGTTCGAAATGTGTTTACAGGAACCAAGGAAAGACAAATTTCGTTTTATTGTTGACAGTGCTTAAAGGGTTTCCTTGAGGAAATCAGAATCTTGCTGTGCCGATCGGTGCGCCTCTACTGCATGGCGGTTCTCGCAGAAACCGGTATATGACTGACTGGCGGAGAGCACGCAGTTCCCGTTACAAAGAGAATGGATCCTGGTGCAGTGCAACGGTTTACATACCTCCATAGCCCTTGAGCTTTGCTGAGGAGTGTACGTATAGCTCCCAGAGATCTTTCAACACCGTGCTAGTCAATGGGATGAAGTTTGACGGACCGTTCTCGCTTTTTTTGTGGTGGCAGCTGGAACACATATGGGGACATGCGCCTTAAAGATTTGGGCTACTTGGCGGTCTTAGGCTAACTGCCGCTGCTTTGCGATTGGGCCGTTAGGCCGAATACTTTGGTTGAGTGACCTAGTAAGCCTCTTATCTGATACTTTTGGTTCTAGCGATATCTCGACCCATCTACAGCCTCAAGGCATAGTATTCCTAGTTACTCGGTTTCTGATATCATCTTCGTTGGTGCATTCTCAAGAACTGATCAATCCACCAACGCCTATTAAAGTTGGCCGCAAAATCGACGATTAAAGCGGCCGTCACGGCCGTATACACTTCAAAATCATGCTCCAAACCTCATCGTCTTTACCGTTCGCACTCTCCAACAAACTGCAGACTGCGTTTGCAAGTAGGATGGCCTCCAATTATATTGATAGTTCTGTTTCAAGATCCAAGTACGGTTGTTCAGCTGAATTCCCGACTAGTTTTCTTCACTTCCAGAAGCCATCAGCTCTAGTTCCGCTGGGAGTAGGAATTTTTTTAAACTATTCCGTTAACAATACACACTTCATCTGCAAACTACTTTGGTTCTTTCGAGAGACTCACCTGGAAGCCAGCTGAATCTCTCGTTTATGATGTTCTCAGGCGACTGAATGTG